GAAAATAAAAATTGTATTAAGTCATTGTGATTATTTTAATGAATAAAATCCACTTTCTTTTGGTCTCCGATAATTCTCCAATGGCGAGATATTCGAATCTCGCCATTTTTTTTTCCGCGTTCCGTTTCTTTAGTGAGTCACTGTATAACGATAACGGAATCTTTTGAAGATTTTCACTAATTGAACAGGTGTTATATCCAGGGGGAGTGGGTTCACTGTGTATTTATTTATTAATTAATTAGTTTTGACAGTTAACCGAAAACTGAATAATACAATTATTATAACCCTTATAATTAATACATTATAATTATTATAATTGTCAATTAAAAAAGCCATAATTGTTATCATCGTTCACGATAATTTTGTAATTGATACTTTCTTTAACTTTATGCCAAAATAAAATAAAATAAAATAAAATAACAAAGCACACGAGACTTGCACTTTAAAATTAAACCAAACAACAAAGTACACAGAGCTTTGTAGTATGAAATAATTAATATTTATTTTCAACTTATATATAATTCTTGTCACTTAATTTATTGGTCAAGGTCAAGAGCTTTGGAGTAATTACACTACAAATTTACAAGAATTACTCGAAATAGATTGACGAGAACTATCTACAATACTTCTAACAATTTCCAAAATAAGTTAATGAAAAATTTAGGTTATAAAATGACAAAATAACGATAAGAAATTAGATTTTGTACCGACATTAATGAATCCGAGAAACATCTTTGCACCGCAAAGTCATTCTCAAGGAATAATCACTAGAATGGGTATGGACTGGAAAAAGAAAGTAGATGCGAAAAAAGATTTATCAAATATGTTTTAGTTATACGTGAAGGAAAAGAAATTGGTTGCTTAGTTAGCGAGGCTCCTAAATACAACACTATCCAACTCTTTCTTCAATAATCCACTGGAATAACAGCTCACTGCAAAGTCATTCCAATTGGACGTGTCGTTTTTCTTATCCTTCCAATGGGCTATCTTGACCATCTCTGTGTGCCATGTCAAGGTGTTCAAAAATTTCCAACAATACATAACATCCAACAGCTCTTTCATCATCTCGCAAAAGTGTGTATAACCTTCCATTGGGAAATTCCACTGGATGACACCGTATTCAAGCATTAATTTGAAATCCTCTTCACATGTGCACATACTCAAGTATAAATATAAGGCCGTATGAATATATGCAGCTTTTCCGGAGGTGATTTCGTAGATGATAAGGTTTTTTAGGACCTTGAAATAAAATGGATCGAGAGTAAGGGTTGTATAGTAATAGGTCTTCCCCAAAGGATCCATGTAGCAACAGTACGCCCCATTAATGACCCGCTTCAATGGAATTTTATGGCGTACATACTCCTTAAACCCAAATTTCATAAAGCTCGAATCTCTGTGGCTGGCTTGATTAAAGGATTTGTGTTGTCCGGCCACTTGACGATAAAGATTTTCCACGTAGGTGATTTCAGTGTCCAATGGTTGTATCGCACCACCAGTAACTAGAAAGGGAGCAGCTCCTATAAGAATACTGTAATGAGAAAAAAATTTAAATTGATTGATCAAGAATCAGCAAATAAAACCATGAGCAAGTGGTATTATGAGACATTACGCTTTCAGGTCGTCCGTCGGATTGTTGTAACTGCATAATTGTTATAGAACATCAGTTATATTTAACAATGAAAGAGAAAAAAAGCAGATTAATGGTAGTGACACATTAGGGTACATACGGGTTCACAGTTAATTGTAACACATTTTGAGCTCTTTCCAAAAATTCGTTTGTTAAAACTCTCCAATCCAAAGTTGTGAAAGGATTTGAAAGGTCCAACTGAGCGTTTTTGTAATCGGATATAGCAACGACGGCTGAAGTGAGGCGATCGTCTGGTGTGGAAGACATACATCTTCGAAATTGCAGCGAATACACCAACAATCGTGTCACTATCTGGATTACCGTTCCAATCGGATAACCCTCCTGTTCATTTAGGGTATTGTTGTTCAATCCTCGAATAAGAGCATCAACATCCTCCGCGCTTACCCTCGAGGGTAATAGACCTTTGCTCTCTTCCAAACGTAGCATGCGTTGCGTCTCTTTGTTGAAGCTCAATATACCGCCTCTGTAAGACTTGGATATATACTCTTTGAGCTTAACGCCTTCAACAAAACGAACATTCGGATTCTTTGGCTCGTTAACGGGTGCAGTGGCTTGCAAAAGGCTCACTAAACTTTGGACATCAAGAAGGAGGTCTGACATGCTGTCTATGAGAAAAGGGGGCAATCAACAGTAAGAATAGCAATAGAGAATAAGGATAAAAATAGGGATAGAGAATAGGGATAGAGAATGATAGAGAATGATTTTGGCATTTGGCATTTGGCATTCTTCATGTTTATATAAAACTAAGTGTTTGTATCACAATAAAATAAGTGTATCAATTCACACATACTTTCGGAGAATACGCGACAAGGCGCAGTCGAGTGGATTTATTGATTCTCGAAGTTTCCGGCTTCAAACTCCGCTGATCATCACCAGAATAGAAATATATCCGGTAGAAAATGTTACATTGCATTATTCGTTTCACTTCAATAAACCAAACTTTTAATATTTATATTTCATGGAAAAAACCTAAGAAATTATATATTCGGTGAATATTTAGAATGATTTGTTTACAACACAAAGTGTAATAAAACACAAATTCGGTGCTTTATTTTTGAAAATATTTGGATTTTTCATCGGCTTATAATTATTAATTGAAGTGAAGCCAGTTTAATACAAAGAATTTGCTTTAATAGCGGTTCATGCGTTAATTAAATTTAAGGCAATAAACTAGATATTTTCAGAATACGGTCAAACCTCTATAACAAAGGCGATAGTCACACATCTTTATTGTCGTGACTTTATCAAGTAATTAAACAATGGTATTATCGTCTTCGTTATTTTTTTATATCACTGAAAATAGTTAGTTAAATGCAGTGTTGATTAGTCAATGGATTGGGTTTCATAGAGTAATACGAACCATTTACTTTACTAATTTGGGTTCTAAAAGAATACTTATAAATAATTGCCTGACGAAAATCACCTGATTTTTGGGTGGGTGGACGCATGTAAATCCCATCGTTAATTGGACAAAGAATATTATTATCAAGATCACTGCAAATTTTACAAAATTTGATTCGCTAAATTGTGGATAAACTTTTTTTGGCTTACTCCAAATATCTTTTTGGAACATTTTGATAATCCTTCAGGAAAACCTTTTATATAATTGGATAAGAAAACTTTGGACATTCAAATACATACATAAAATCATTAAAATATGTAGATATTAATTATATATTTGTAGAGCTTTAAAAAAATAATTATTATATACGTATGAGTTAAGATAACACAAGAAAATTTTTTGGTTTTCTTAATATATAACTATATAAAATAATCCAATAATCCAGCTTTTTATTTTTAAATTAAAAATTTTTATTTATAATGTATAAAATCAATTATTTTTTTTTAGTTAGGATATAATATTTCATAATTCAATAATCAAATCAAAGTGATCTAATCATTATTAATGTGAAGGATCATGATAAAAACGGATTATGATAAAAAACGTATTGTAATGAAAATTTTGTGCAGATAGGGTTTCAATTTCTTATCCGATCCGGAATTATCACCAACCGATTTGGTTTTTTAAAAATTATATAAACCAGTTTTATTTATATACAAATATTCGATTATGTTAAAAACTGTTTTAAATATAAATATCCGAATATCTAAAAAAAAGATAAAAATGGCAATTGAAAAATTTTTTCACTCTATTATGGCTGGATCTATTTCATCTTCAATTATAACTGAATCCGCGTTAGGTAAAAATGAAAAACATCATTAGTTTGTCTTGTAGTCCTTAAACCAATATTTTTTATATTTAGGAAAATATATATTTTCACCTTTTTTAAATAGAGAAAAAGAACCAAATATGAAAATGAAAAAAGCAACATTGTGTGAAATTATTTCAAAACTGAAACAATAACAAATGGTTGTTTTAATATATAGTGGCAATCAGAAATAATGCAACAACATCAAAATTTATTAATTAAACATAGTAAAATATGGATTTTTCTCTTTATATAAAAGTTTTTAATTTTACTAATAAATATTTTTTATTTTTACATTAAA